TATAGTTAAGTGGAATGTGTCTACCTGCAAGATGGAAGGGGTAGACGTCTACCGACAGCTTGTACATTAACAGTACTTCTATAGTTGAGTGGAATGTGTCTACCTGCAGGATGGAAGGGGTAGACATCTACCGACAGCTTGTACATTAACAGTACTTCTATAGTTCAGTGGAATGTGTCTACCTGCAGGATGGAAGGGGTAGATGTCTACCGACAGCTTGTACATTTACAGTACTTCTATAGTTGAGTGGAATGTGTCTACCTGCAGGATGGAAGGGGTAGACATCTACCGACAGCTTGTACATTAACAGTACTTCTATAGTTCAGTGGAATGTGTCTACCTGCAGGATGGAAGGGGTAGATGTCTACCGACAGCTTGTACATTTACAGTACTTCTATAGTTGAGTGGAATGTGTCTACCTGCAGGATGGAAGGGGTCGATGTCTACCGACAGCTTGTACATTAACAGTACTTCTATAGTTGAGTGGAATGTGTCTACCTGCAGGATGGAAGGGGTAGACGTCAACCGACAGCTTGTACATTTACAGTACTTCTATAGTTAAGTTGAATGTGTCTACCTGCAGGATGGAAGGGGTAGACGTCAACCGACAACTTGTACATTAACAGTACTTCTATAGTTGAGTGGAATGTGTCTACCTGCAGGATGGAAGGGGTAGACGTCTACCGACAGCTTGTACATTAACAGTACTTCTATAGTTCAGTGGAATGTGTCTACCTGCAGGATGGAAGGGGTAGACGTCTACCGACAGCTTGTACATTTACAGTACTTCTATAGTTGAGTGGAATGTGTCTACCTGCAGGATGGAAGGGGTAGACATCTACCGACAGCTTGTACATTAACAGTACTTCTATAGTTCAGTGGAATGTGTCTACCTGCAGGATGGAAGGGGTAGATGTCTACCGACAGCTTGTACATTTACAGTACTTCTATAGTTGAGTGGAATGTGTCTACCTGCAGGATGGAAGGGGTAGACCTCTACCGACAGCTTGTACATTAACAGTACTTCTATAGTTGAGTGGAATGTGTCTACCTGCAGGATGGAAGGGGTAGACGTCAACCGACAGCTTGTACATTTACAGTACTTCTATAGTTAAGTTGAATGTGTCTACCTGCAGGATGGAAGGGGTAGACGTCAACAGACAACTTGTACATTAACAGTACTTCTATAGTTGAGTGGAATGTGTCTACCTGCAGGATGGAAGGGGTAGACGTCTACCGACAGCTTGTACATTAACAGTACTTCTATAGTTGAGTGGAATGTGTCTACCTGCAGGATGGAAGGGGTAGACGTCTACTGACAGCTTGTACATTTACAGTACTTCTATAGTTGAGTGGAATGTGTCTACCTGCAGGATGGAAGGGGTAGACGTCTACCGACAGCTTGTACATTAACAGTACTTCTATAGTTCAGTGGAATGTGTCTACCTGCAGGATGGAAGGGGTAGATGTCTACCGACAGCTTGTATATTTACAGTACTTCTATAGTTAAGTGGAATGTGTCTACCTGCAGGATGGAAGGGGTAGATGTCTACCGACAGCTTGTACATTTACAGTACTTCTATAGTTGAGTGGAATGTGTCTACCTGCAGGATGGAAGGGGTAGACATCTACCGACAGCTTGTACATTAACAGTACTTCTATAGTTCAGTGGAATGTGTCTACCTGCAGGATGGAAGGGGTAGATGTCTACCGACAGCTTGTACATTTACAGTACTTCTATAGTTGAGTGGAATGTGTCTACCTGCAGGATGGAAGGGGTAGACCTCTACCGACAGCTTGTACATTTACAGTACTTCTATAGTTGAGTGGAATGTGTCTACCTGCAGGATGGAAGGGGTCGATGTCTACCGACAGCTTGTACATTAACAGTACTTCTATAGTTGAGTGGAATGTGTCTACCTGCAGGATGGAAGGGGTAGACGTCAACCGACAGCTTGTACATTTACAGTACTTCTATAGTTAAGTTGAATGTGTCTACCTGCAGGATGGAAGGGGTAGACGTCAACCGACAACTTGTACATTAACAGTACTTCTATAGTTGAGTGGAATGTGTCTACCTGCAGGATGGAAGGGGTAGACGTCTACCGACAGCTTGTACATTAACAGTACTTCTATAGTTCAGTGGAATGTGTCTACCTGCAGGATGGAAGGGGTAGACGTCTACCGACAGCTTGTACATTTACAGTACTTCTATAGTTGAGTGGAATGTGTCTACCTGCAGGATGGAAGGGGTAGACATCTACCGACAGCTTGTACATTAACAGTACTTCTATAGTTCAGTGGAATGTGTCTACCTGCAGGATGGAAGGGGTAGATGTCTACCGACAGCTTGTACATTTACAGTACTTCTATAGTTGAGTGGAATGTGTCTACCTGCAGGATGGAAGGGGTAGACCTCTACCGACAGCTTGTACATTAACAGTACTTCTATAGTTGAGTGGAATGTGTCTACCTGCAGGATGGAAGGGGTAGACGTCAACCGACAGCTTGTACATTTACAGTACTTCTATAGTTAAGTTGAATGTGTCTACCTGCAGGATGGAAGGGGTAGACGTCAACCGACAACTTGTACATTAACAGTACTTCTATAGTTGAGTGGAATGTGTCTACCTGCAGGATGGAAGGGGTAGACGTCTACCGACAGCTTGTACATTAACAGTACTTCTACAGTTGAGTGGAATGTGTCTACCTGCAGGATGGAAGGGGTAGACGTCTACTGACAGCTTGTACATTTACAGTACTTCTATAGTTGAGTGGAATGTGTCTACCTGCAGGATGGAAGGGGTAGACGTCTACCGACAGCTTGTACATTAACAGTACTTCTATAGTTCAGTGGAATGTGTCTACCTGCAGGATGGAAGGGGTAGATGTCTACCGACAGCTTGTATATTTACAGTACTTCTATAGTTAAGTGGAATGTGTCTACCTGCAGGATGGAAGGGGTAGATGTCTACCGACAGCTTGTACATTTACAGTACTTCTATAGTTCAGTGGAATGTGTCTACCTGCAGGATGGAAGGGGTAGACATCTACCGACAGCTTGTACATTAACAGTACTTCTATAGTTCAGTGGAATGTGTCTACCTGCAGGATGGAAGGGGTAGATGTCTACCGACAGCTTGTACATTTACAGTACTTCTATAGTTCAGTGGAATGTGTCTACCTGCAGGATGGAAGGGGTAGATGTCTACCGACAGCTTGTACATTAACAGTACTTCTATAGTTCAGTGGAATGTGTCTACCTGCAGGATGGAAGGGGTAGACGTCTACCGACAGCTTGTACATTAACAGTACTTCTATAGTTGAGTGGAATGTGTCTACCTGCAGGATGGAAGGGGTAGACGTCTACCGACAGCTTGTACATTAACAGTACTTCTATAGTTAAGTGGAATGTGTCTACCTGCAGGATGGAAGGGGTAGATGTCTACCGACAGCTTGTACATTAACAGTACTTCTATAGTTGAGTGGAATGTGTCTACCTGCAGGATGGAAGGGGTAGACGTCAACCGACAGCTTGTACATTAACAGTACTTCTATAGTTGAGTGGAATGTGTCTACCTGCAGGATGGAAGGGGTAGACATCTACCGACAGCTTGTACATTAACAGTACTTCTATAGTTCAGTGGAATGTGTCTACCTGCAGGATGGAAGGGGTAGACATCTACCGACAGCTTGTACATTAACAGTACTTCTATAGTTCAGTGGAATGTGTCTACCTGCAGGATGGAAGGGGTAGATGTCTACCGACAGCTTGTACATTTACAGTACTTCTATAGTTGAGTGGAATGTGTCTACCTCCATGATGGAAGGGGTAGATGTCTACCGACAGCTTGTACATTTACAGTACTTCTATAGTTGAGTGGAATGTGTCTACCTGCAGGATGGAAGGGGTAGACATCTACCGACAGCTTGTACATTAACAGTACTTCTATAGTTCAGTGGAATGTGTCTACCTGCAGGATGGAAGGGGTAGATGTCTACCGACAGCTTGTACATTTACAGTACTTCTATAGTTCAGTGGAATGTGTCTACCTGCAGGATGGAAGGGGTAGACGTCTACCGACAGCTTGTACATTAACAGTACTTCTATAGTTGAGTGGAATGTGTCTACCTGCAGGATGGAAGGGGTAGACGTCTACCGACAGCTTGTACATTAACAGTACTTCTATAGTTGAGTGGAATGTGTCTACCTGCAGGATGGAAGGGGTAGACATCTACCGACAGCTTGTACATTAACAGTACTTCTATAGTTCAGTGGAATGTGTCTACCTGCAGGATGGAAGGGGTAGACATCTACCGACAGCTTGTACATTAACAGTACTTCTATAGTTCAGTGGAATGTGTCTACCTGCAGGATGGAAGGGGTAGATGTCTACCGACAGCTTGTACATTAACAGTACTTCTATAGTTAAGTGGAATGTGTCTACCTGCAGGATGGAAGGGGTAGATGTCTACCGACAGCTTGTACATTAACAGTACTTCTATAGTTCAGTGGAATGTGTCTACCTGCAGGATGGAAGGGGTAGATGTCTACCGACAGCTTGTACATTAACAGTACTTCTATAGTTCAGTGGAATGTGTCTACCTGCAGGATGGAAGGGGTAGACGTCTACCGACAGCTTGTACATTAACAGTACTTCTATAGTTGAGTGGAATGTGTCTACCTGAAGGATGGAAGGGGTAGACATCTACCGACAGCTTGTACATTAACAGTACTTCTATAGTTCAGTGGAATGTGTCTACCTGCAGGATGGAAGGGGTAGACATCTACCGACAGCTTGTACATTAACAGTACTTCTATAGTTCAGTGGAATGTGTCTACCTGCAGGATGGAAGGGGTAGATGTCTACCGACAGCTTGTACATTAACAGTACTTCTATAGTTCAGTGGAATGTGTCTACCTGCAGGATGGAAGGGGTAGATGTCTACCGACAGCTTGTACATTTACAGTACTTCTATAGTTGAGTGAATGTGTCTACCTGCAGGATGGAAGGGGTAGACGTCTACCGACAGCTTGTACATTGTGACCTGCATGGAGCCGCCCTCTGTCTTCCAGGTCTTCTCTCCCTCGAACCCTGAAACACATGACAGCAACCTCAGACAGCAACCTCAGACAGCAACCTCAGACAGCAACCTTAGACAGCAACCTTAGATAGCAACCTTAGATAGACAGCAACCTTAGATAGACAGCAACCTTAGATAGACAGCAACCTTAGACAGCAACCTTAGACAGCAACCTTAGACAGCAACCTCAAACAGCAACCTCAGACAGCAACCTCAGACACTCAGACAGCAACCTTAGACAGCAACCTCAGACAGCAACCTTAGACACGTCCTCGGACAGCAACCTGATATAGCAACCTCAAACAGCAACCTCAGACACTCAGACAGCAACCTCAGACAGCAACCTTAGATAGCAACCTCAGACAGCAACCTTAGACACGTCCTCAGACAGCAATCTCAGACAGCATCCTCAGACACTCAGACAGCAACCTCAGACAGCAACCTAAGACAGCAACCTTAGACAGCAACCTCAAACAGCAACCTCAGACAGCAACCTCAGACACTCAGACAGCAACCTTAGACAGCAACCTCAGTCAGCAACCCTTAGATAGCAACCTTAGACAGCATTACAACAGTTCAAATATTGATTCAGTTTGAGGGGCAGGTTCTTTCAGTCTGATTTGACGATAGCATGTAACCACCTGGTCATTGTAACCACCTGATCATTGTAACCACCTGGTCAATGTAACCACCTGGTCATTGTAACCACCTGATCATTGTAACCACCTGGTCATTGTAACCACCTGGTCAATGTAACCACCTGGTCATTGTAACCACCTGGTCATTGTAACCACCTGATCATTGTAACCACCTGGTCATTGTAACCACCTGGTCATTGTAACCACCTGATCATTGTAACCACCTGGTCATTGTAACCACCTGGTCATTGTAACCACCTGGTCAATGTAACCACCTGGTCATTGTAACCACCTGGTCATTGTAACCACCTGATCATTGTAACCACCTGGTCATTGTAACCACCTGATCATTGTAACAACCTGATCATTGTAACCACCTGGTCAATGTAACCACCTGGTCAATGTAACCACCTGGTCAATGTAACTACCTGGTCATTGTAACCACCTGGTCATTGTAACCACCTGATCATTGTAACCACCTGGTCATTGTAACCACCTGGTCATTGTAACCACCTGATCATTGTAACCACCTGGTCAATGACACCACCTGGTCATTGTAAACACCTGATCGTTGTAACCACCTGGTCATTGTAACCACCTGATCAATGTAACCACCTGGTCATTGTAACCACCTGGTCATTGTAACCACCTGGTCATTGTAACCACCTGGTCATTGTAACCACCTGGTCATTGTAACCACCTGGTCAATGTAACCACCTGGTCATTGTAACCACCTGATCATTGTAACCACCTCGTCAATGTCAATGCCTGGCCAATGTAACTTCAGACTTTGCACAATGAATCCTCTTGCAAATGATATGCACTTGAAAGTAGCATTCATGTAGTTCGAAGAAAAATAAAATTTGGCAGACTCTTTTTTCCATAATTTCGTGAAATGACAAAAACAAAAGATCTTATCACTGCTTTTCGTGAGACATGGTGAAGAATATGTGTAAAAAAAGGCTTGCTGACTTGGTTGGTCATCGTATTCCAAGAGCGTGGATTGATGCTCATGATGTCAATCACTGGATTGTCTGATCCAGATTTGATTATTTACAGATCCAGCATATAGCTGGAATATTGCTGAGTGCAGGGTTATACAACAAACAAACGGGCTGTTTCCTAATAACTATAGTCATTTTAGTTATAATACATAGCAAGATAGAAGTGTGATGTATGTTACCTGTATCTACTGGTCTATCATCACAGAGATGCAGGTCGATACGGCTTGTTATCAAATGGTACGATGTCGATGCAACATCATACTTGACAAATGCTGATCCCCTGGTTAGAGCTGTGGGCTGTTGTTGCTGCTGTTGTTGCTGTCGATATTGATCAGACTGTGTTCGGCTATGTCCTTGTTTCTACAGAGGAGAAAAACACATGTCAAGTTTCTTACACAATTAGAGAATACCACATGGCAAGTCTCTCGTATAACTAATAAAATTAAATATGTACAACATTGTTACTTAGAAAATCAAATATGCAATTCTCTAATCAAGTTTATTGATATTGAGCATACATGTATCTATGTAGGCTACTGGTTCCATAGACTATTTAGGAAAGAAATACTACGCCAGAGACCCGTGAAGATCCGGGGTAGAATAGGTCTTCAGCAACCCATGCTTGCTGTAAAAGGCGACTGTGCTTGTCATAAAAGGCGACTAACGGGATCGGGTGGTCAGGCTCGCTGACTTGATGCATGTCATCGATCCCAATTGCATGGATCGATGCTTATGATGTCAATCAATGGATTGTCTGGTCCAGACTCGATTATTTACAGACCGCCGTCATATAGCTGGAATATTGCTGAGTGCAGCGTTAAACAACAAACAAACAAACAAACAAACTACGCTAGAAGCCTTTAGCTGCTGAATATCTTAATCGGGTCCAGCATTCCAAGAGACAGTGTGATAACAAGCTGATGGGATATCACAGATAACAGTCAGTTAATAATAAGGGTGCATATAACACACAAGTGCATATTATACACGACTAAATAAGTCTTGTGTACATTGATCAATCGGAAGGGATGCTAATTGGGATTGTTCACTAGCCAATATATTAGCAAATATCGCTGTGGGCGCTTGTTAGAGCTGGGCGCTTATATAAAGGTATATAGGTATATAGGTTCCAGCAACTTGTCATAAGAGGCAACAAAATGGTCAGACTTGGTTGAATTTTGCAACAACTGTAGCCAGCAATACCATTGGGTCACATAGACTAACAATCAACCAAGCAACCGAGTCTGACCACACAATGTCCATTTTAGTCAGCTCTTACAACAAACATGAGGTGCCAGAAGCCTTCTGACCCCAAATCCCCACAAGGGCAAACAACTATGATTGGTTCATGATGCCCATAGACATCTAACCACCAGTCCCACATTTACCTGTAACTTCTCAGAAGCCACCTTTTTGCTCTGCTGAGCAGATCTCTCGATGACCTCTTTCAAGGAGTTGGAATACAAGATGGCGGCCTTCAGCTGCGACGCCGTCAACACCCACAGTATGTCATCCAGCAGCAACATCACCCGCGTTGATATGATGCTACAATCTGAGGACAGAGACGGAAGCGTTGACACCGATGTCACTTTCAAATGGGCACCTAAAACCCATGGCCCTGTTCACAAAGCAAACTTTGGTCAATGGTCGAGTATGAGAGGTAAGGGAGATAACTGAACAAAGTCCAGTTTCCGACCTTGCCGAACTAGGCTGGAATTACGCAGTTATATTTTGGCTGGGCTAACAAATCTATGGATAGTACAATCAAAATCACGTTCCGAACTCAACATCCCCTTCATCAACTGCTGTTCAGAACTCGGTCAAATGCCGGATTTGTAAAGCAAGTGTACCTCCAGCTCGGCGTCAACATATATATTTTCCAAATCCTTTTAGAAATAAGACCTGTTTTATTCCAATATAGATCTTGATTATCGATTTTGATAAAAGCAAATCCAAGTGATATGAGATGTGGAATGTGATTGGTCAATAGGAGGACACAGAAGAGGCATAACCCGTAATAGCCACTGGTGGCGAAATGATCAAGCCCAGAAATTCCAGCCTAGTTCGGCAAGGGTGGCAACTGGACTTTCACAGTCAGTTAACACTCTTGCCTTGGGAATATGAGTCATGACAAGCACAGTTCTAATTATTCGGTATCTTAGGCCCTGCATTTTATCAATTCCATACACAGAAAATAATTCTGTTTTTCAATCCTTTGCCAGAATCATCCTAAATTAAAGTTACACTGTCTAAACTATGAGAGGACTAAGTAGGTCTAGAATCTGCATCACTTAAGAACTGAGCAAGATGTGAAAGAGAAAGAGACTTCCACTCAATAATTGTATGTTTCTAATGCCATACATTTTATTTCAACTGTTTCACAAACACTTCAGTAAAATCCAAATGATTTGAACTAAATATGAGAAGAGGTTTAGAGACAAAAATTCTTATTGAGATCATTTTAGAGGATAATAGTACATTTTGAGCAGAAATGGCTGAGCAGAACCCTGGTGAGTCATGCTGTTTACAGAAATCCAAGCAGAAAGTAAGAAAGCCAAAAGGTCCTAAATATTTCCTACTTGGGTCAAACCAACAAGTACGGACATGGTGCAGTCATTACCATACCAAGGAACACAATCAGAGTGAATCTAGACTATAACTCCACAATCACTGTTGCATCCTGGCAGTAACTCTGTAACTCTACATCCAAACTAAAGGACAAAAGAAATTCTTTTTCTGCCTGTACCACTTAGTTTCTTCTTCATGGTGATCCTGATCTTCGCCTGGTTGGCAAGGAGACGTAGCGGCGTGGATGCGACATCCTGTGGTATTTCAGACTCCATGGCGTTGGCCTCGATCTTCATGTTCTGCCACTCTATTTCCTTGAAGAGCAGAATTTCCCCGCCTTCAGCATCTCGGATGCGTGTCTGGCGCAGGTCCGATGATGGCTGCCAGTTGGGAGTCGTGCTCTGAACCCGGAGTCTCAGGAGCTGAAATGAGTGAAGATGTTTACGGTACAATAAAGCTACTTTCAATCCTTTATTTATGGACCCACAATAACTTAAATTTCAAAATATAAAAGAATAGGAGTAAAACTGCTGCAAACCTAAACCTGAACATTGTCAGGCCAAAACAGATCAAGTCGACTGTTTGGCGACACGACAGTCGTCACTTGTTTGTAAACATAACGGTCATTCGGTTGCGAGTTCAACTCCAAGCATGGTTGTGGTCATCTATCACTGTGGGGAGCTTTGATTGGTGGCTGGGATAGTATAGAGAGCTCCGGGAACGGGATAAATGCTGTGAGGAGCTTGTCAACTGCTATGTGAAGGGATCTTAAAATAGATCAAGACGGGTTCTCAAGCTCCTTCACAGCATGTGACACCTTCGTTACACTCTCGGTAACATCGCTGTTACCAGTGTGGGCACGGCCATTACAAGAATCTTGAAATTTGCCCTCTAACCCCAAGATAACACAATGATATGAATTTCATACTGTGAATTCAAATTTTTCATATTGCCATTCACAAGATGTGCATTTCTGTGATATGATTTGACTGATCATTTTGTACAAAAAAACTAAAATTATAGATGAATAACACAAGACTATGACATTGTTATCCATTTTCATCCATTTCCAAGACTGCCTACACTTTGGTCAATGGACAAGTTTACTTATTAGGGGCAAATTAGGGTCAAAGTTTTATACCACATCCTGACAGTAGATTGTCCCTAAAACAATGTCTTCTGAGAAAGGAGAGAGATATTAAGTCTGAAATAGGACATGTCCAGATGAACGACCCAAGTTGGAAGTACCATGTAGCTAGGGGCTGTTGGCCAGATTCTTAAGACTGAATATAATCACTCCAAAATGATATTTAATAAGCAAAAACCAACAACTTCAACATGAATGTGATTTCCTGAAGTTTGTACAAGGAAAAATCATGACTATATTTGCAAGCTTAATGAAACGATTGAGAGAACCAGAATATTTTTGTCTTTTACAAGTCATTAAGTTCAAATTACGGATGAACACAGCAATGTTGTTTCCTGTGACGCCTTCACATCAGGGAGACTGACTATTGATCAACCCAGGAAGCCTTGCTAATTCAGTCCATATCCTACACAAGGTCCCTAGTAGCGGTACATAGCCATGGTGGGGGTCAATGGCCTCATCTACACAGCGGCCATACAGTGTGTATCTGTTGTATAGCCCCAGTGGGGCCTAATGAGGAAATAAACGATGAGAGGGAATTGTTTATCGTACAATAAAACACTGCAGGGAGAATAAACCATGAGGGGTGCATTGTTAGATAAACAACGACCATGAGTCATGTACATGTTGTATTTCTTACATGAGATATCAACATCACATACAGCCTCTTTTAGGATGTTGAAAAAATTTACAAGCTTTAAAAATATTTACCCGAATTTTAATGACTCTCTAAACAGAATCTGACCTCAGAAATGTCGAAAAGTCCATTTTATGAACAGGTGGGTTATGTTTGGTATTTCCCACATATTCTCACAATTCTCACGTCAATCATCTGTACCTCTTCTCCTAATACCGATTGTCATATGTCTCCCACAGTTGGATGCGATTGCCTGGCCACTGTGTTTATCTGCGTAGCCCAGCTACATCTATGGGGAACAACTTACTAGACACATCTCTCTCAAAATAATGTAGTCCAATATATGTCATCAATTTGCGGGCGCATATTCGAATCTCCAGAAATGACGACATAATAGAACAATTTTTATCGTGAAATAAACCACTCTTCGTTCTTCATTGTTCTCTGTGATTTATCGCAAGGCTATCTTATTTATGATCTTAACAGCAGATAAAATTCGTTGTATATACACGATAGGGGTTGATGATAGACATAGGACAATTCACCAAATATCTGCAGAAAAGTCAGTGGAGCGCTTCATAAAAAACTTGCTCACGTGCTCACGTCTTCATCAGCTGCTGAACGTCAACAAATACAACTTCAATCCTTATACTGACACATACATAAATCATAACAAAACAATCCATTTAAGCACCAAACTTTAACTATTTAAAACAAACTTATATTAATGTGGAGAGTTGCCTTTCTCGTAACGTCATCCGTCCCAAGATTTCCATTGGGAGTTATGTCCCTTGGACTTACAAACGTCATAAAATGTCTGCTACGGCAATGTCAATCACTTGAAATAAAACGGGCACCCAGTGACGTTGGAATTGGAAAGATATCAAGATACAGATGATGCAGAAAAGGGGTTAATGTGAATGTACTGTGAATATTGGGGGTGTATTTGAGACACACTAGTGAATGAGTGAGTGAGTTGGGTTTAAGGCTGCTTTTAACATTATTCCAGTTATATTACGGCGTGTCAGCTTAATGTGGGAGGAAAGCCCGAAGTGATGCAGGTCTCAGACGTTTACCACTTCGGTGAAACACACCAGCACGGTTTGGTGCTGACAAACCTAGAAACATAATAGGGGCGAACCGGGATTCGAACCCACAATCATAGGTTCCTGGCGTGACCAAGGGACGCAACTCTGCACAGCTAATCGCAGCTGGGCCACCTGTGCCCCCTTGAGACACACTTAGTTGAGACACACCAAGTTGAGACGCACTAAGTGGAGACACACTAACTTGAGACACACTAAGTCAGGAGGAGCAGCTGATGGAGGGATTGCCGCTTGAGGTGCGCGGTTGGATCTCCCGGTGTATGGGGCTTAGTGATTTCTTTTGGAGATTGGAGCATTCTTAGTTTTTAACAACATTATCATAAAAGGATACAAATTCGTTATTAGGTTGAAAACTTACATAATGGCTTGTTTTTGGTGGAATGTGCACAATCTGAAAGAAATTGTCATTTAGTAGTACGTCCCTATTTGACGTTATTTTTAGACATTGAGGAATTCCCCTAAAGGAGCTCTGTCAGACTGTCTCTCCGCCAGATTAATGATGTAATCACGCGACATACTGACGTTCATCGGGAAAAGAATAACAGTCAGCTTGGTAGTGTTCATCTCGGTGAGGTCTCCTGCTACTGTCACTATAACAGAATGTGTTCTGAAGGGAAAAACAAGACTCTTCAAACAAGGCCAAGTTTTGATGAAACAACGAAAGGGAAAATAAGAGATCAGTATTTTCATTTCAATACAAATGCTGAAACTATCAGTATAGTGTCGCATGTGCAGATGTTAACTATTGATAGTCTAACTCGTCATCAATATATTGTCCTTGGTGCTTGAGAATTACAGTATTTAGAGAATTCAAACAATCATTACGCAAGTCATAACTGAATAGATTCATGATTGTCACTTATGTCAACACAATGCAGGTCATTAGAAACTCGCTAATGACATCCATGGTCAACAACTGGCTACAGTAGTGTCCCATTGATCAACACATCTGTGTGATAATCCATCCTACTGGATGCTCTTACACCCTCATCCGTTACAGCCTTGAATGGCCATGTGGCTAGAAGCTAGGTGGTGTGATGGTAAGCACACGCCTGTCACACACACCATGGATCTGATTCCTGGTTCAACACATCTGTTTGTTAATCCATCCTACTGGATGCCCTAACACCCTCATCCATTAAGTCTTGTATATTTAACAGTGACCATGTCACTGGAAACTAGGGTGGTGTGATGGTAAGTGCACACGCCTGTCACACACACCATGGATCTGATTCCTGGTTCAACACATCTGTTTGTTAATCCATCCTACTGGATGCCCTAACACCCTCATCCATTAAGTCTTGTATATTTAACAGTGACCATGTCACTGGAAACTAGGGTGGTGTGATGGTAGGTGCACACGCCTGTCACACACACCATGGATCTGATTCCTGGTTCAACACATCTGTGTGATAACCAGAACAGAACAGAATTTATTTCATGGCCATGAGGTCAATAGTACATATGATTGGATAATATTTGGAAAATTATGACAGAACACTTCAAGTTATTTTGGTTCTGGAATTTCTAAGTTTAAACATTTTTTCAAGATAAAGAGCTGGCTGGAATAAACTGCTGTCGTCAGTTGTGAGTAGAGATACAAACTTATGCATGGTAGGGTATTCATAATAATACTGGGGCCACTATGTCAACCTTAACTTAGTATAAGCTGGACATATAAATAGTGCAGGGCGTTCATCATCAAAGTCTTCAGTTGAGACCGTAATTTTAAGAAGAGCTCTTACAGTATTTAGATGTTATTTGAATGATTTTAAACTACACAACTATAGAATGTCTACAGTCCGTTTGACTCCAAATGAGAACGATGAATTGCAATATAACTCGAAATCCAGGAAAGTCTATGAAACATCAATACGGTACTTGACCATGAATACCCTGTCCCCCCTACGTGTCATGTACACATTTCTATACAAAATTACATGATAGTTTCTTAAAGAACTTCATCCGTCATGGGTCTTAAAATAAACAAAATTCAGATTTTGTTGGGTACAGGGTATTCATGGTCAAGTACCGTATTGATGTTTCATACACTTTTCTGGATTTCGAGTTATTTTGCAATTCATCGTTCTCATTTGGAGTCAAACAGACTGTAGACATTCTATAGTTGTGTAGTTTAAAATCATTCAAATAACATCTAAATACTGTAAGAGCTCTTCTTAAAATTACGGTCTCAACTGATGACAGATATTTTCCAGGTTGTAGTAAGGATTTGTAGGAGCAGTATAATTCCTGCCTTTGGGGACGGTGAATTAGATGTACAATCTGACCATTCTTTCTTAAACAGATCTCTTGTTCTTTGCTTAAGTGTATAAACAAAAGCAGCACAGTGTCCGACATCTTGCATCGACCACACATTACCAAAGCCATAACTTAACAATGAATATCTCACAAATATAGTTTTATAACCTAATCCATCATGTACACAGCAGGAATTAAGTGCTTTGGATATTTGCCTAGAGGCATAATAGCTTAATCCAATAATTAATTCCTCTCACAACACCATGTTCAAAC